AAGACACCTCCTAGCTTCTTCGGGAAGAACTCTAGTCTCAAGTCGGGATCATGCCAAGTAGTGATCGGAGGAAAAATGATTCGTGGACAAAGAGACTCTCAAAAATAGAAAGATCATGGACTCACTTTTTTAGTTTCCCTATTTTTTTCTTTAAAGATTGTTGGAACCCCCTTTTTTTCTTGTTTCTTGTTTCTTCTTTTCTTTTTGCAAGGGGTTCCAACCTGTTATTTTCATAAAATGGGGCTCCCACCTGGCAAAGGTTTTGAGAGAGCCCAACTCTTACCATCCATGCCGAAAGCATATGTCACAAGCCTCTTGCGGGGGAAAGAGATGTAAGGGGGCTGGAGGTAGTAGGTGGAAGTTGGGAACGGATTCTCCTCTCCCCTTACACACTTTCACTGATTTCCACACGGGAGACATTGTTTTAAAATCACAATGTAGAGCATATTTTTCAAACATGATACATAAGTCCATGAAAGGTAGAGAGTCATCAATACCACACGATTCAAGTGTCCTAAGATCACTAATTCACACAATCATCCAACACAACGTGAAGAAGAAAAGAGATTTCCTAACTGCATCAACATCCTCCATAGTGCTACACTACCTCCCTAGGTTGCATGGTACCATAAAGACTGTCAATTCAAAGCATATTGAGCAGGTGATTGCAAGGAGACAAGTACTTGGAGCCCTCAAATCGATATTTGGACAATGGACTAAGCTCCAAGCACACACATACAACCAAACATTCACACGCATACATAATCGAACACCCCTCACACTTAAACACGACATTGTCCTCAACGGATGAAAGATAGGGAGGGTGGAATGAAGTTACTAGATCAAGTGTGAATGATGGTGGACAGGGTAGACGATGCATTCCAGGAGGAGAGAGAGAGTAATCAGACCACAAAACCCACAAAATCTCACAAAGTTGAGTTATTGACTCTAAAATTAAAGAACAAAACCGACTCAACCGAAGAGAAATAGTGAAAGAAATGCAAACCGATTGGTTGGGTTGCCTCCCAACAAGCACTTCTTTCATGTCTTGAGACAGACGGTGGCTCCTAATTTTCGGTCCACCCCAGAACCTTTGTGAAGTTGAGGTTCTCGTCGATAAGGTGGAGTCTCAAGTCACGAGCATGTGGTGTGGCAGGGGATGAAGGCTCGTACACTTGATGCAGATGAAGTATCCACCCTCGAGACCTCTTCTTCTCTTCTCTCGTCTCATTGCCCCAAACCAGATATGACACCATCGCTTAACCACCATCGCGTACACCAAGAGTGACCGATGTCGATGTGGCCTTGGTGTGGCAAAGAGACACTGCAAATGGGTCCCTTCCAAGAAGCTCCTCGAAGTTTGGTGGAGATATCACTTGTAACTCATGGCCGGTGCAAGCCTCTTCCACCTCAACTTCATCCTCGCCCTCGATGCCAATTCCTTCCTCAACCCCCCTTCCTTCTTCAAAATGTGGTATCTCCCCTGGGAAAAGATCAAGAACTCCTTCTACTTCACTTTCTTCATTCTCCCAAACTTCTTTCCTCACCCTTTCTTACTCTTCTTCTTCCAAAACGGATTGGAGAGCAAGTCGCCAAGCATTTTCTTCGTTGAGATCATCTTGCATCTCCTCACTCATGCCCGCCTCGTCAAAGCTCGGTGTGGGATGTGGAAAGGTGTGGTCGGCTATAACGGGACATTCCTGATCATGATCGTCACGGTAGCTCTCTCTGACAACTTCTGTCTGCTCCACAGTATCCTTGTAGCCTCCTTCTTCCTTCATCCTCCTCCTCTTATTCTATTGTAGCGGAAAGGAGATACTGAACAAGTTGTGCACAAACTTGCTCAATCAATTTTGTTTGCTTTGCTGAGTGTAGGGCTGCAAATGGGCCAAGCCTCTCGCAAGAAACTCGACGTTCGAATCGGAAAAAACTCGTTCGACACTCGACTCGTTATTTAACAAGCCGGCTCGTGAGCCGACTCGTTAGTAAACGAGCCAAGCTTGAGCTAAACCATGCTGAGCTTGATAAGCCCGTGAGCAAATTTGACTCGGTGGCTTGTTGAGCTAAGCTCGCGAGATGGCTTGTTCAGAGCTTGTAGAAGGATTAATTATTATTCTGAACATGAACATTATCTTGTTAATTAGTATATATATGGAAGTTAGGTGTTATTTTTAGTTTCTAGTGTTATTTTTATAATTTAAATTCTTATTTCTACACATTTTTCAGCTAAAATGATTTCAAATCGAGCTCATCTTGAGTTGAGCTTGTACTCAGCTTGACAAGTTGTGTTAATGAGCATTTATCGAGCTCTACCGAGTCGAGCTCGAGCTGAATCATTTTTAATCGAGCCGAGCTCAAGCTGAAATTTCTAAATGAGCCGAGCTCAAGCTAAGCAAAAACTCGACTTAACTCACCTCGTTTGCAGCCCTAGAAGAGTGCTGAACAGTCTCCTCCATTTCACGGAGAAATGAAGGGTCACGAGTACCAACAGGAGGAGCAATTGATTTGATTAGGAGGTCCATCTTGGAGAAGGGTCTCTCGGTGTCCTAATCAAAATGCTCCTCGAGAAGCCTCAATTGACTGTTCGGATATGAACATGGAGCATAGTATGGGTATGCAGAATGGCCCTTGAAAGGCCGCCATGGCTAATCCAACTCCGATGACCTCTCTGGTTGTGGAAGAAATTCCTCTTGATAAGAAATTGCTCTTGAAATGTCCAAGGGTCTGGTTGTTCTTGGTAGTAGAGGGGTTGGTATTGCAATCCAAATCCATAGTCTTCTCCTCCTTGATTGCTCTAGGAAGTCTCGGGGTAATACCACTCGGGTGGTGATGGATACCCCCAATGATTGGAGAAGCCATTAGGATCCATGATTCAGATATGCACCAACAAAAACACCCAAGTGAAAAGCAAGGGTGGAAAAGTAAAACAAAAGAAAAAACACTAAATTAACAAACTTCTGCCTTGCTTAATAATCTAGAAAGTCCCCGGCAACGGCGCCAAAAACTTGACTCGCTACTACACAACTCCTAACAGTGGCCAAGTATAACGAATGAAAGGGCCTGCAGTATAGTGGTGCAAGTAATAAATATCGAATCCACGAGGTCTCTAGATTTACTATTACTCAGCTTTAGCTTGTTATATAGCAAATCAGATTAAGTTTTGATTAACTAAACTACTAATTACAGGTTGGGAACTCACTTAGGTATGATTCCCTCTAGTCACTAGCGAGATTAATGGTTGATGATCTCTAACCTGTTTCACTTTCATTCACAATGTAGAGAATCTATGACTAGACCTTGAATATTGACTAAAGAAATCAAGGCCCTCTTGAGTCGATTGCCTAGAGGGACGTATCCTTCTCTAGACCAACCGATCAAGGCATTCTGAACTAGATTCCCTCTATCGAACGAGGTTATCAATCGATACAAAGCAGTGAATCGACCCTCGACTAAAGCATTCAATCCAATACTATTAATCAATTGTGCTCTATTAACCTAATAAGGTATTCGCTCTCATAGGATCAAAGCATAATCAATAATCTCGACTAAAGCATAATTGAATCATGTAAACATGCATAGATTGAATATGAACTCAAGATTATCAAATAGGAGTACTCATACAATCATCCAATCAAACAAACATAGCTAAGGTTCCTCATAACCTAAGTGAAGGGAAGTTACTCCATAGAGAAGAGAGAGAATGCATAAATATGATCTAGATCTTCAATCTCCATCTCCAAGCTTGATTCTCGAGCTCCAATAGTGAAGAAAACCTCCAAAATAGCTCCAAGAATGATCCCAATGTGCTCTCTCTAGGGTTAGTCCCTTGGGTGTTTGGGATCCAAAACCCAGTTCTCTCTCTCCAAAAATGCACAAAACAGCCTTTATACTCCCTTCTGGAAGTTCCTCGGTCATATTACCCGATCGGGTAATTGTACTTGGTGATCGGGGATCTTCAAGACGCTCAGTGTCACTTTTCTTTGCAAAAGGGAAATTTTCCGGTCGGGTGTTTCAGATCCCTGGTCGTAATTGGACCTCCTAACTGGGGATTTCTACTGATCAAAATCCCCTAATTGACTTCCTAATCCCCTATCGGGGATTTGAACCTCCAAACCAGGGATTTCACCATTCCCGGTCCTCGGCCTTTGATTCTTCATTTCTCCCTCGTTCGGACTCCGAATCAGGTGTCGTTTGATTCCAGATGTTCGTAGTCTTAACAAATGATTCTTTGGCCACAAAATGAGGTAGAAATCCATTCTTCTTCAGGTCATCCTGGAGTTTCTTCTCTAGAATTGCCAATTGATCTCCGATTGGCTTGAAACTTACTCCTATGCTTCACTTTACATGCTAGGACCTTAAATGTGACAAAGGAACACAATCTAGTGTAAAATAGGTCAAAGAAGCAATAATACAAGCTTAAACGATCAAAAAACAAAGGGGAAAACATGTGCAAATATCGAGTCATCATATGTTCAATTATAAAATTCTATACCACTCATAACAATTTCCTGCATATAATAATTACAATCCACTTTAGCAACTCATTAACCAATAATACTTGAGACAGCTGAAAAGTGAAAAGTAGTCATTATCTTAAGTTCATAATTAGATTTGATGTTAACATTTCATCAAACATAGTTATAAAATGCAGTTCGATTATGTAAAACTATGACTATGACCATGGTATGGTTGAGTTTGGATTAAAATATAACTTAGGATGGGTTCTACACTTCTACTCCATAGTTAGATTGGGATTTCGTCACAAAAGAATGGTTTTTGGCTTTTTGCCACTAGCGGGTACTCTTCTAGCATTTTCACACCATCCCATTGTCAAGTTGAGAAGAAGAAGTAATAAATCGGCTTACACTAATTTGAATGGTAATTTGATCCCAGAGGATTTGTTATACAGCAAACAGAATGCCGTATCTGGAAACTCTGGTGTATTCAAATGTCTACTCTGAATCACCCGCCATTACAAATTTACAATTCCTTTCCCACAGTTGAAGGAAAACAGAGTTCTGAGAGAAAAAGCTTCCTCTGTTTTTTCAATGGCCAGAGCAGTTCCCATCTTCTCGATTACCGTTCTTGTGGCGTGCTTTCTCCTTCTCTTCGCCGCGGAGCCCACTTCCGCCCGGATTCAACTCCTGGCGAACGAATCTATCCCGGCGATTTTCGTGTTCGGGGACTCGATCCTCGATACGGGAAACAACAACGGCTTACTCGCTTCCCCTTGCAGGAGCAACTTCCCGCCTTACGGCAGGGCATTCGACGGCGGAGTTCCCACCGGCAGATTCTCCGATGGGAGAGTCCCGTCGGATTTCATGGGTTTGTATTTCTTTCATCTCAACTTTTATTTATTAGGCCCGCAATGAAATGTATTGAATTCCCTCTCGTTCTTTTGATTTTTCCCAGTGGAAGAGCTTGGTATTAAGGACACTCTGCCGGCATACAAGGATCCAAATCTAAAGCTGGAAGAACTTCTCACCGGCGTCAACTTTGCTTCCGGCTGTGTTGGATTCGACGACCTAGCATCAAAACTTGGGGTTGATTCAATTTCCTATGTTTTTTTTTTTTTTTTTGCGTGGAAAATCATTCTTACCAATAAACTGTTAATTACTGTTTTTTTTCCTTTCTCAGATGGTACCGCCATTGAGTCAACAGCTAAGAGAGTTCAATGACTACGTGAACAAAGTGAAAGAGATGATAGGAGAAGAAGCAATGGCCAAACTGTTAGCTAAGAGCATAGTTATTATCTCTTTATGCAGTAACGACATAGTTCAAGCGTACTTCAATTCTCACATCAGAGAACTCCAATACGACTTCTCGACTTACGCTGACATTCTAGTCAAATCCGCCACGACCTTTTTGATGGTAAAAACTAAAACAATACACCTTTATTTCTTCAAAAAAAAAAATGTCCACAATGTTAAAATTAATAAAAAAATTCACTCATTACAAAACTTTTTTTCCAAAATACTAAAGTTTGGAGCGAATCGCACTGATCGCTAGAGTGTGTGGCGAACCACTTTTTTATTTGCTTCTGTCTTGAGCGAATCGCACTAAAAATTCACTCACTCATTACATAACTTTTTTACCAAAATACTAAAGTTTGGAGCGAATCGCACTGATCGCTAGAGTGTGTGGCGAACCACTTTTTTATTTGCTTCTGTCTTGAGCGAATCACTAAAAAAAATTATTGTATTTTGAATTTTTTTTAAGTGTTGTATTGTAATGATTTTTTTTCATGAACTATTGCATCGTGGGAATTTTTTTATTTCTTTATACATTGTTTCTTAAGTTATTTTCAATTGTTTTATTTGGATTGAAAAAAAAGGAATTGTACTCAATTGGGTGCCGGAGAATCGGCATGTTTGGAGCACCACCGCTTGGATGTATTCCGTTCATCAGAACCATGACCGGAGGAGTAGAAAGAATGTGTAGCGAAAGGCATAACCAGGCATCACAATTATACAACTCCAAGCTGATTTCATCGATGAATTCCCTACAGAGCTCGGGAAACTTGGATCCCGATGCTAGGTTGGTCTACCTCGACCTCTATGATCCTATGATGCATCTCATCGTTAACTATCGATCTTATGGTACGTATATCGATCATCGTCGACTATCGATCTCGTAGTTACAATATCACATGCTACTATGATATGTTATGCTTTTGTTGCTGTGGTTGTGGTAGGGTTCGAGGTAGCGGACAAAGGGTGTTGTGGGATGGGGCAGGTCGAGATGTCTGTGTTGTGCAACAAATACAATCCCTACACGTGTACTGATGGCTCCAAGTACGTGTTCTGGGACTCCTACCATCCCACGGAGAAGACTTATAAGCTGCTGGTTAGCCAGTGTATTGCTGGCTACCTCCACAGCTTCCTGTAGCAAGGCAATTCGTAGGTTTTTTTTGACTTAATTTTTTTTGTTCAAATCGAGGAAGGATGCATGTGTACGTCGAGTCATTGGGAGGAATGGGTCAAAAGAAAGGATGGCGGTGGCTTTGTCATTTTAATAAAAAAATTGATCTTTCATCGTCATACCATCTAGTCCTCCTAGCTCCGATTAGTAACGCCTCAACCAACTAATCACGTCCAACTTTGCCTAGACCTTATGAATGCCTAATGGTTTTTCTAAAGCCTAGGTAAATTGTTTTGTCGTTACCTAGCATCTAGGCGTATACGGAATTATGGCTTCTTGAACCGATTGTAACCACTATTATGATACTGTAAATCTAGTACTGTTATAAAATTAATGGAAAATATAAACAACTACAAGAGAATATTAGAGTGGAAAGACACAAATAAGAGATGAGGAAGAGAGCTTTCTTATTCATTCTTTACTTTTGAGACAATGGTGTGCTCTATTTATAGGCACATCTTGGTAACCACTACATCCTTATATCAATGAGAGATAATGAAACATAAAGGAGCTATCAAATGTAGGAATAGAGGTTACATATAACTCGCAAGTGAGCATTCAATGTGGTAATGGAAATGATCATCCATGTATCAATATTTACATAATACTCCCCCCTTGGACAACCACTAGATTGCATTATCTCATACTGCCTCGTTAAAAACCTTACCAGGGAAACCCATTGGGAATAAACTATGCTCCCCCTCATGACCACATCATATCTTTGAGTCGTTGAACTCAAATTTCACGAACAACTTTTAGAAAGATTGTGGTCGGGAGTGAGTTAGTGAACAATATTTTAGATTATCAATTTGATGCATGATCTTTAGATTTTCTTCATACAGGATCTTCAAGATCATTTCCTTTGGAAAAAGTTCACAGCCACACGTCCTTTAGATATGGTGAATAACAAAGTGTAACGAAATACATTCAGGACTTACCTACTATAGTTTATTTTGGATCTCTATGAAACAGTCACATCACCATATGTAAGAGATAACTCATCTCTGATCAACCAATATGAGGATCAAATAATATATAGGATTTGGATATATAGTTCACCAAATATCTCTTTGATAATACCATAATAGAACAATCGCATATATTGTTCCTAAAGGCAACAAAGTATTTTCAAACGTTCCATTGAGGGAAACATGTATTTTGCTAATATTATCAACAACAAAATGATATTTTGTATGGTGCTTTAATGCATCAACATATGGTACTTCAGGATCTAGTACATCAACATATAGTACTTAAGGACTTAATGTTTAACTTCTTTCTCGATGCCTAAATTGATCTTTGGTTACTTCTAGTGATCTTAGGATCCTAATGTTATTTGATGAACATAATTTGTTCATGCAAAATTATGTTTCCACATTTTCAACATAACCTTCCTTGCCCATAAAAAGATCTTAAATCCTTCAATTTAACTTATGTCTCCATGCAATCAACTGCTTTAGAAAGCTCTTCAGGAGCTCCAATAATAGTCATATCATCTACATAATATGAGATCGTCACAAAGATTTGATACAAACAATTCTTTCATGTTATGAAAGATAATAACAAAACTCACATCATAGAAACAATATGAACTCGACAATTAAAGACCACTCATAAAACACAAATCCTTGAATCACATACAAACAACACAACTATATATGCACGGGTTAATTGTATGGTTGGTCACTTAGATTACATAAAACGTTCATGTTTGGTCACTGAAAATATTTAAATCCAATTTTGGGGCCTAAGTTTCTGTGCTTAAGCCCAAAAGCTTAAGTATATGCTTAAAGGAATTCTATTGGATGTTAGGAGATTAGGTGGTTAATAAGGAGTTAATAATTAATAGGCGGTTAGGGGTATTCAGGAAAATTGTATAATTTACTTATTTAAATTTTAATCTAGTATCATAATTATTATAAAACTTTTCGTTTACCCCAATTAAACCCAAAAGCCGCCGGGTAGGGTTTATTGTTTCATCGACCTTCACTCTCCTCTTCCTAACACCGTCCCCTTCCACTATCCATCTTCGCCCTCTGCCGCCCCCCAGCCCCGCTAGCCGTGGATTTCTGGTCGGATTCTTCGCTTCATCGTCGACGAGGAAGTTGGTCGGCTTGCTCCTGGAGGTTGCGGTTTAGGCGGCTGGTTGAATTTGTTAGAAACCGAACAGAAAAATAGGGTTACCGATCTGGCTGAGTCGCGGACTAGGTCGCTCTCTTTAAGACGTTCGCGGCACTGCCTTCGTTGCGCACGGCAGACTATCAGCCGGTCGCCTCCAGGATAAAACAGCCATTCTTATTTTGTTGCTCATCGGTTTTGTGCGAAAACCGGAGCTCTATGAACTCACTCTCTATCTCGTGTTTCTGTTCTCTGAGGTGTGTTTAGAGGGTCTAGGGGTCTGCTATTTATAGGAGCAGAAAACCTAGAATATTCCCTCTTTCTTTGGGAATAAGCCACATTTTAATTAGGAAGATAATTACTTCCATAATTAAATTATATTATATTATATTAAGATAATTATTCCTAATTATCTCCATAATATTCTTTTTATTAATTATCCTTCCTATTTTCGTATCTAGAAAGAATACGGGATAATTAATTCAATATAGCTTTCAAAGCTATTCATTCCCAACAATCCCCCACTTGAATAGTTTTGAAACTATCTCTGAGCATCAACAGATCCATAAGATCGGGCATAAACTAAAGTATCGCGAAGATTTGAACCTTAGCGTAGTGGTTACACTTCCGATTTCATAAGGGTGACTCGTAGTCTTGAACCCTATCTCAGACAATGTAGCACACCGGATCTTTTCATTGAGTGATATTCTCTCATAGGCCGTGCGTTTATGGCATGCACGTTATCCCGGTTTAGTGAACGCTCTAGCAACTTTGTGCCTCCAAAGTTCCATAGGGAGCGGCCTCACTCCCACATTCACATAGGTGAGTCTATCAGAAGTACCCCCAAAGTAAAGAACTTCACTCCACATAGAGTATAGATCTCATTAAGAGTTTTAACTCAACCTCCAAGGCTTTGGGATTCATGCTTCACTATGCATGAACTTTTCTCAATATTACTCATGACTTGTTATTACCCATTGAACCCGTTTCTTGGGATCTCCAGTCTATCGGGTCGGGTTACCATCACTTGTAATCCATGGTTCGGTAGGCATAAGTCTCATACCCTTCGTGGTATTTTGGACTTTCTCTCTAGATAATCCTTTCGTCAAAGGATCAGCTAGATTCTGTTAGGACCTTACAGGATCCACCCTCATTGCTCCTATCGTTAGGAGTTCTCTTACAGTACTGTGCTTACGACGAATTTGTCATCTCTTTTCGTTCTAGAACCGGTTCCCTTCTTTAGTAATAGTTGCGGTACTATCACAATGAATCATCTACCGGAGGGATCGGTCTTTCCCATAAGGGAATCTCTAGTAATGATCCTCTCAATCAACTTTCCTCTTTGCTAGCCATCGCTAGTTCTATCATTTCTGATTTCTTAGTTGATTGAGCCAGGATCGTTTACTTCTTAGACTTCCAAGACATAGCTTCTCTATCAATGTTTAAAACACAGCCTCTTGTTGTCTTGGAGTCCTCTATAGGGTATTCTAATCCGCATCACTATACCCTACCAATACAGCAAAACCTTTGATAACAAATACCAAGGTTTTTCTGTTCTTTTAAGGTGTCTCATGACCCCTTTCAATAGCATTTCAATGCTTCATATTAGGACAATCAGTAAGCCTGCCAAGTACCCCAACTATATCGGGTCTCATGTTTATCAGTTGCCTCTCGCAGACTGTAGACGCTAGTATATTCTAACTTTCTTACACCGTCTTTGGTGTTCTTTAAATATTTATACGAGCATCATCAAACATGTATGCAGGTGTACATCTTGTATTTTCCTAGTTATTAGGATCTCTAAGCATAACATTCGTTTCATTCAGATCCTTCACATTCAAAATTCTCAACCATCATGGTTTTTCAATATTGACATCACGAGTCTTTGTACCAAAGATCGACGTGTCATTCATAATCCAAGTGTCATTCTCAAATTTGTACTAAATGCACTTGTCACTTTCACTTTTAAAACCATGTGAGAGAACCAGTTTATTCATGCCATCGTCTTAGAGTCTATTTCAAATCTTACAATGATTTGTCTAACTATAGACTCCCTAAGCATGTTCAAGAATAACAACCCTATAGGTTGTCCCATGTAGATTTTCCTATCTACATCACCATTCAAAGAAACATGTTTAACAACCCATCTGACGCACAACACTAGCAATCAGAACATACATGGACGTTATTCTACATATGGTGAATAGATAATAAAAAAATTTACAATTTTTCCTTTTCGCTTCAAGCCTTAGCTATTAGGCGATCCTTATACTCATAAACTAAACCGATAGGTTCACTTTTCTTTTAAGAATCCATTTATTACCATGACTTCATTGCCAAGAGGTAATTCTCAAAGATGCCAATTCTTGTTCGATTCTATCAATATATTACCCAAGGCTTTTCAACCAAGAGGTAACTCTACAAGATTTTAAGTCTTATTAGACTCCAATAATTCCATTTCGTTAATAATGGATTCTCCCACAATTCTGCATCTTTATGGAAGTTCGAACTTATAGCAGACTTATAGGATCTTTCTTTCTTAGGGTGTGAATAACAAATTCATAACCAAAATCATTTTGTGATTTATGGTTCATTTGTTTCTTCCGAGTTTAAACTCAGATTTATTACCCCCACTAGTTCCATTATTTCTAATAGTAGGCAGGACACTACCCCCACTATTTCTTGATTTAAAATGGAAGTTTTTTGGCATTAATGGAATTCACAACGACATGAGTATTTCTTTTTTTTTTATAATTATATCAAAATTGCATTAAGAACGGGAACCTTTAGCAAACCGCTAAGGCTCCTCTCGGCACAAACAGTCAGTACATAATACTTCCATCACAAGAAAGAACAAACCAAAAAAACCACAAATGAACTACCCCAGCCCCCTCGATTCTAAACAGCAGTATAAAAC